CCACAAACTGGAAGATATGCAAGTGAAAAGCAACAAGTTGGCAGAAGAAGCATCAAAGATAGGACTTCAGGTGAACATAGAGAAAACAGAGGTAATGAAGATTCCTGGACAAAAAACAACAACAGACAATGATCAGCATAAATGGGAGGAACCTGAAAGAAACAACCTCTTTTACCTACCTGGGAAGCATCGTTTCAACTACAGGCCGGCGGAACTGACGAGGATATCAAAGCAAGGATCGGGAAGGCAAGACAAGCTTTCACTACTCTCAAGTCTGTGTGGAGGTCAACAGCACTCAGCATCAAAAATAAGATCCGGATTTTCAACTCCAATGTGAAGTCAGTGCTACTATACGGATCAGAGACTTGGTGCGTCATAAAGAGCATCTCAAGCAAACTACAGACCTTCATTAACAGTTGTCTTCGCTCAATACTTCAAGATCAGGTGGCCGGCCAGAAAAGATCAGCAACAGAGATCTCTGGCAATGAGCGAACCAACACAGCAGGAACCGATTGTGAAACAAATAGGCAGGAAGAAATGGAGATGGGTTGGCCATACTCTGAGGAAACCATCAAGTGACATCACTAGACAAGCCATCGCTTGAGTGGAACCCGAAAGGGAAGCGGCGAGTTGGTCGTCAGTGCAAGGGTGACTTGGAAGAGGTCATGTGAAGAGGAGATGAAAACGTGTGGGCAGACATGGAGCGAGGTGAAGACTCTAGCAGAGAACCGAACGCAATGGAGACACACGGCTGAAGCCCTATGTTCCTCTAGGAATTAAAGGAAACAATAATAATAATAATATTTAGACTTTTAAAAATTCCTATTCCCATATTTAGAAAACAAAAGATAATAGACTGATTGAAGAAACATACTCCTTTGAATTAAAAAAAGAATATAATCTCTTTGTTTTATTTCTTGCACCAGTTCATCATTTGGTTCTAATATGGATCATCTAGCCTTTGCAATAGAAATATTGATTTCTGGTCACTAGTCATAGGTTACGTTAATTACCTATGATTACACTAAATTACACTGTATCGTACTTTGAATTCTAGCTATATATTATTGATATACTTTGGAATTACCCTAGCGATTGGATTGGTCTTCCGGAGAAGGGTCGCTAGCCCTCCACCCAACCTGCCTTCTTTTTACTGGGCTTAGGACCAGCTAGTAAAGCGGACGAGGTTATCCAGCTATTATTTGTGCGAGATAAAAATCATTGGGCATATACACATTGAAGGTGTTCTGTGAGATACGTGTAAAGGTAAGTTGCTAGTGTTTGATAATTAGTTGTATTAAATATTATAGTTGTATTGCAATATTAATAAACTCTTAGTGTAAGCGTAGATTATGAGCACTGTGGTAGAAGGTAATTCTATATTAGATAGGCTTATTTGATGCAACAGACAGTGATGTATTATGGATAAAATTTTATTTTAATAAAGTCACACAGTAATATTTACTGCTGATGACGTTTCGAGCACAACTTATTGCTCATAATTATATCAAGGCACTACTCACATAACTTTTTTGCTTATTTTATACACATCAGTAAAAATTAATCAGACATTTTGAATAAAATCAATATAAGACTTGCTTGAAACAGAATGGAAGATAAAGTACATTCGGAAACAATATAAGTGTAAATAAAGTACAGTAGGATAGGAAATAAGACGAGTGTTGTTAGTCGATAAGATATTTTTTATAGTAAAAATAAGTAACTTGTTAGAGTGTTATAATGTGAATAGAATACATTTTAACATTATTTATTATCCTCTGATTTGACTGGTAATAATATCTTCCAAATCTCTGGTATTTGCGTTGAGTCAATTCTATTGCATGTGTCGAGTGTAAACTCGATGAACCAGGATTCAGTATCAATCTCTCTTTCTCTTTTCAAATTTTAAACCCTCTCCCACCCTATTGTGTGGTTGTGTGTTAAGGCATGCAGTGCGATTGCTGAGCTTTTTTCTAAATTACTTATCTTCGCAGGGTCAGGCATTCTAAACTTAGCTAAATTCTTATGTTCTGACAATCTAACTACTCTCGATCTACTATTTTGACCTATTTAGCTGACCTCACAGTCAACTTTGTCTAATTGGGTCAACAGAGTCCTTTAACCTATAGAACTTGTCCCTGAGTGAGTTTGTAGGTTTAAATGCCACTCCAGTTCCTCTATTAAGAATCCTACGTAAGGTCTCAGACGTCCCCTCCTTATATGGTATAACTGTAGATGCCTTATATTATTTCTTAATTATGTTATTATTATTATTATGACCTTTTCTGATCTTCCTAATGAATTTTATAGGATAGTTATTTAACACCAACCAGCTGTTCTTCCATCTGTTTCATTTCATCGTCTAGGTTTTTTTTGTTGTACTACTTAGTGCTATCGCTCGGTATGTTAGACACTCAACTAAGCTTGCCTTTACAGATAACGTATGAGATTAATTAAAGTCTAAACATATATTATCAGAATGTGTTGACTTTTTATAAACGCTAGTGTGCAGTTTACCTTCTTCTATTCCTTTTATGTTACAATCTAACATAGCAAATTTTCCTTGTTAAATTTCCGATTCAGATGTGTATTTTATTCCCTTTACTAGTGAGTTTATATATGTCAAGAAGCTAGAGGTATATTGTGTTTTTAACACTGAAAGTGTAATCCACATATCTCCACCATATCTTCGGAGTAGGATTAAATGTATTGAGAGCAATATCTTCTCACCCCTCCATAAAGATATCTGCTACGATAGGGGATATTGGTGTTTCATCCCATTGCTACACCTTCTGTTTGTTTACATATTTGCCCTAAATTTCTCAATGGGAAGCTTTGTTTTAATGATATTAGATAGTTGAAGGATGAAGCTACCCATTGAGGAAATTATTTTAGGAATTCAGTTATGCCTCACATCTATATTATATATTATTGTTCCCTTGGGTTCCTAGTGGAACATAGGGCTTCAACTGCACGCCTCCACTTGCTTCTGTCTTGTGCTGTACTTTTCACTTGCATCCATGTTAATCCATACTGTTTCAGTTCCTCATCACACGATCTCCTCCATGTCACCCTTGGACGTCCCACTCGCCACTTCCCTTTCGGGTTCCACTCGAGGACCTGACGCGCTATGTCACCCGAAGACCTTCTCAGCGAGTGTCCAATCCATCTCCACTTTCTCCTGCATATTTGTTGGGCGATTGGTTCCTGTTTTGTTTGTCCCCATAGTTTCTTGTTTGTGATTCTTTCCGGCCATCTAATCTTCAGTATAGAACGAAGACAGTTGCCTCACATCTACTGTCTTTAAATTCCAGGGCAAAATAGATTATCGGAAGACGGAAATTTAGCTAAGCCTAGAATTATCGATGCTTCTCAGTTAAATAATCTAGAAGAAAACTCTGCCATTGTAATTTATTCACTTGAATGTTATCATACAATTGGGTGGGGTAGGGTAAAAGTGCTAAAACGTAATATAGCTAGGTGGAGAGAGAGAAAGAGAGGTCGATCACTAATTTCTCATACATCAAATCAACACCAAACATGTGCAATTGAAATAACGCTATGTCCATACTGTATATATGACAAATTACAAGATGGCGTGGGGGGGGGGAAGAGAAAAAACATAAGGCAAATTATGAAGCTGTGTCGATTCAATTGCTACGATTATAAGCAGTAATAAGTTGTGCTTGAAAAGTCATGCGATTATTAAAATACTGTATCATTCACAGTAGTTTTATTTATAACCAATTATTTAGTGACTTTTTCAAGGATAAATGAGACCTATATGCAGATATAAACTGCCAGGATTCAACTCAAATTATTGATTAGTCTCGTATCCCAACTTTGAACACGATCGGCATTCAAAATCATCTAATCTATTTCGGAAACTAATTACATAACTGTGCTGATGAAAGTGAGCAATATATTGAGTTTTTTTTTTATTAGCTTAAATCAGTAGTTGTATCAAATCAAGCTAGACATGAAGTAGTGCAAAGTAAAGTATTCCTGCGCGAAGTTAAAGTATTAGATATTTGGAGGCAATCGGCAGGAACCCTTGGACCTTCGTTTCGTGCTAGTTGGCACTCATCAGCAAGGCGTATCTGCAACCTGGAAGGAACTCATGTCCCACCCCTCTAAGATTCGAACCCACGTCACTCAGTGCTGCAGTCAGAGACGTTACCACTGGGCTATTCGGGCTCGCGATTGACCTCCTGTAGGACTGTAGTTAAAGTATCTTAGCCAAAGTCAAGGTCCTCCAAAAGTTAACCTTCAGGAACCGTTTAGATATGGGGAATGCTATGAAATGTCATTCCAAATCAAATCATGTCTGTGTTTTCGAAATTGGAGAGGGCAGATACAGTGTTCTACTTATTTACTAGGTACTTTTTTCGCAAGTCTACACTGGTAGGCAGGGTTATGGCTTTATATTAATAAGGTTTAGGTTGTAGGCTTAGGTTTAGGGGTTAAAGTTACGGTTAGGAATATGGTTGGAGAATAGTGTCAGAAATATCAATGGATCCCAAAGTACCATGAATGGATATATCGCGGATGGTACGGTTTTTCTATAGATTATCTGTGTATTGACTGGGAGACATTCTTACAACACATAAGCTGCAACTCTACAGTGGTAAATCATGTTTGCAATATTTATTTAGTGGATTTTTCAACAGTTGTGCCACTTTTTCGCATCTGAATTCTGATTGGTTGTTCAAGGTCACTACGGTTTCGGCTATGATAGTTTAACTTTGCCTATTACTGAACATAGATTTGCTAGATATCCGTTTTAATGGTGTGTTAGTTTTTGATGCACCCTTGGGTCATTAGTTCAATAAGTCAGATTTTCATGAACTCTAATTCCTGCATTTCGTGACATTATACACATAATTCCCTAAAGATTTAATATATATCCACTGATCATTGAAGTAATTCTGTGTCAATCTCGACCAATACTACTTATTTCATAGACATTCTTTTTACAATGATGTGTTTTATAATTCAAACTATACTAGTGGTATATATTGTAAATTGTAATTAAAAACAACTATATCAACATACCGTAAACCAAACGGTACAGCATTAACCCAAGATCCCATATGGAATCCTTGATTTGATATAACTTGATGCAAATTGTTAACTGTCTGTAAATGTTCATGTATTCTTCGTGGTATTACTAGTAGTCCAACCGAGTGTGTTTTACGGTTAGATAGAATTTGACGTATTAAACTAATTATTTGTATATCTGAATGATCAATAACAAAATGACCATTAACTTCAACTATTTGTTGATCTGGTTGTAAACCAGCCTCTTTAGCTGGTGAATTAACAGCTACAGCTGTAATACATCCATTGTGTATTTGTAAGCCTAAATCATAATAACTGTTTATAGCATTACGCTTTTCTCTAATCATTGTCAACTCATTGATAACTGGACACTGACCAACATTGATAACGAAATATTTTAAGAACGGACATGGTCTCGTTCTAAGATGAAATACATCATTCGTTTGAGCAGATCGTGCAGTTGTAGGAAACGGTTCGTCTATTTCTTCTAAAACGCAATGTTTTAATTCTAGAATCTGATCACCATAATGTATATTTGGACGTATCACAAATTTACTATAATCCATATGTGTTACGTAACATTTTTTATTTGGAAAAACATTCACTAGTATTCCACTACAATTTTGTTTACGATAAATATTTTCTTCTCGATAAACTTCTCTGAAGTTTAAGTCTTCAGGGAAAGTATGACGCAGTTGATGACGGAATAGGGCGCACCATTCCTTGTAAAGTTCCATATCAGCAAGATAGGCATAGACAATTGTCAATGGTACACGATTAATGGATATTTTAGGTTTCCTTTGTTTAGATAATGACAGTGCTCGAACTGAATGACTGTTTACAATAACAGGACGTCGAGGTGTTAATCTAAGCTGTGCACCTGTAAAGCATGCATGACGTTTTTCAACTGGATCCGAAGCACCTCCACTATTTAGATTAGTTAAATAACCTGGTAGCTCACCATCCCATATTTTTCTTAATATTTCTTGAATATTCCTGTCTGGTTTATCACCGGCAGATTTATCCTTACTTGTATCAGATTTTGAGTCTGTTTTACATGTGCATATGCCTTTATCAGGTTGTACACACCATCTACTCCATATTCCATGAACCGGACAAATAACAGGGAACTCATTACAGTTATCTGGATCAGGCCATTCAAGTACACAGTCAGCTGTTACAGAATATATTGGGTCGTAATATTTATGCCAACTAGGTAGTAATGAATTTTGATTAAAAAAACGTTGATAATTCATAGCACTCTGATAAAAACTATGATTAAAATAACTCTCTTATTTGGCAGTATGGATTATTGATTTTAATATTTCATTATTGACTTACTGGATTTAAAATGGAATCGCTTAACTGTTTTCTATTACACCTGTTCAGGAAGTAGAATTCAGTCTGCACCGAAGATAGGACTAGACACATCACACTAGTTACTGACTAGTGTCCAATCAAAATACATCCAATACAGTCCTACAGGAGGTCAATCGTGAGCCTGAATAGCTCAGTGGTAACGTCTCTGACTGCAGCACTGGGTGACGCGGGTTCGAATCTCAGAAGGGACATGAGTTCCTTCAAGGTTGCAGATACGCTTTGCTGACTGGTGAGTGCCAACTAGGACGAAACGTAGGTCCAAGGCTTCCTACTGATTGCCTCCAACCATATAATACGAAAAATTGACAGTGCACCGAAATGGTGAGCTACCTAGCATGGTGGCCACGTTGCAAGCTTGACTCATAGAATTCAGTCTGTACTGAAGATGGGACTAGACACATTACACTAGTTACAGACCAGTGTCCAATCAAAAAAAATTAAACCTATTCGTTAATAAGAAATATTACCAATGTGAAAGACTCCAAGTTGACCTAGTGATTTCATTTACTCAAGTGCGTCGGTGGCACAGCGGTTAGGACTCTCGCCGACCATGCACATGGTCCGGGGTTCGATTCCCTGCCGTCGCTCACCCGATATCAATGGTAGGCCTGCAAACTTTAGGCTACCGATATCATATGCTGAAAATTCTATACTTCTACCAAAAATACAGCGTGGAATCAAGCTATAACCAAAAAAAAGTTAAAGTACCTTAAATACTAGGGAAACTGGGAAATTCTGAACGACTCATTAGTGAACTTTTTCATCAATTCCCACATAATATGTGAAGAATTATTATCATTATCGTTTTAACTAATACTGAATTAGTTCAAAAGCATCTATAAGTGATATTATGCGTCAACATAACACTAAAATGAATATCAGATAAATTCAAAAATAATACAGAATTTATATGAATTTAAAGGTTCTGCAGCTGGCCGAGGTAGCCGTAGTGACTGGAGCCACACACACAGAGCTGCGGTTGTTTTCAATGGCCTGTGCAGTTTGAAGTATTTAGTATCTTCCGGCCTTTCGTTGTTTACTTGGTACCTGACGGATGATAGAATAATCTTCATAAAGACAAGCCTGTTTACACCAGGTGGTCACACTGTTTTGATAGTTTTTACTACACCTTTATTTAGCCACACCGGTAGATGTTTCAAAATACACAAAACTAAGTCCCTAGTGCAACGGTACAGTCACTATTAGCTACCCTAGGTTGCGGTGGGATATGTAAACTTCTAAATTCTGTATTATTTTTCCTAATTTAGCTGTTACTCGGTTTAGTTTTATGTTGATGTATATTATCATTTGGAAATGCTTTTGAGCCGCTTCGATGTTATTTAAATCAGTAATGTTGTTAATAACAATAATTCTTTAATTATTATGCACATATAACTGTAGAAAATGATGAAGCTATTCTTTAATTGGACACTAGTAACTAGTCCTTTCTTCCCTGCAGACTGAATTCTATCGGTCAGATTTGCAGTATGGCCACCATTCTAGGTAGCTCGCCATCACGATGCACATTGATTTGATGATATTAGATGGTTGGAGGCAATCGGCAGGAAGCCTTGGACCTAGGTTTCGTGCTAGTTGGCACTTGTCAGCAAGGCGCAATTGAAGCTATTCATTGCTCACCAGTCAGTGATTTTAAAATTTTTAATGGGCATATTTAATCAACTGAAACCAGAGAAATTCTGTCTTTGTAGTTCAGTTCTTCTGATGTGACCAGTAAAATATCAGAATCCATCAATTTTTCATGTGATTTATTGGTATGTTTTCAAAATATTTACCATCCTGTGTCGAATATCACATTGTATGTTACACAGTATGTTTGAGTGACTGATGTAAGTAGTGGAAAAGCGTTTGAACCAATCAAAAGATGCTCTAATAGCAGGATGGCCATTTTGCTGATTTAAGTTTAAACTCCTAAGCGGTGTACCCGGATCAGAGGGCCGAGTTGATTGGAACCGTTCTAGGCGAATCTGACTTCTCAGGTGAACTGTCAAATTATACACTTATTTTCTGAAATCTCATTATAATTGCCTTAGAAACCGAAAACGTGAAATCACAATGATTACGTATAGTATGAACTTGAAAATATTGTAGTTATCCGATTCAATCAGAAAAAAATTAAATTTTATGGGTTTTAGAATATATGGAATGGAGAAATATTTTCTATAGTTTGGTTTGTAAGGGTTAGTTATGTTTTTACGAGTTGATCACGGATTGATATCAGTTAGAGAACCATTGAAAACCAGGGAGTACTGGACAGCTGCTGTTTCATCCTAATTTGGGAATCATCGGCAGTACGCACCCACTGCCAGGGTTCAAACCCAGGACCTTCCGGTTACAAGGCAAGCTCGTATACCATTCAGCCACTGGGACCCGATTCAATGGCTCATGAATTCTAACTTCTACCAATTTGTGATTTAGTGCGACCCCAACCAATGTCGTTGGTGGGACATCCATCCTCACACGTAACATCTGGTTGAACCTCACTGGTCACGACTTCTCACTAGAACTCCAGGAAACTTCATCCTGTAGCAAGTCACTAGCGAGCATCAGATTAATTTTCTATAGTTTGTTTTGTAAGGATTAGTCGCGCTAAATCACTAATTGGTAGAAGTTAGAATTCATGAGCCATTGAATCGGGTCCCAGTGGCTGAATGGTATACGAGCTTGCCTTGGAACCGGAAGGTCCTGGGTTCTAATCCCAGTGGGTGTGCACTGACGATGATTCCCAGAGTAGGATGAAACAGCAGCTGTCCATTACTCCCTAGTTTTCAATGGTTCTCTAACTGATATCAATCCCTGATCAACTCGTAAAAATGGAAAAATAATTGAAAATAAATTAATAGTTGAATTTGAAATTTTTTGAATTCTCCATGTTCTAGAAGATAGTTCAGTATTGAGCTATTGACAGATGTCACTGTTACAGGTCTCATTAAAACAAAATGGTAATAAAATGTTCTGTGGTCAGATTCAGTCATTATTAGTATCAAGTAAGATAGACTGCTAACTTGGGTTAATTAAAATTTATGCTCGAAAAACATTACAATATTACGGATGTCCAGTAGCTGACCGAAGACCTGAGGATTGACAGACGTCAATATTTTATACTACAAAGTTTGAGGAGTAAATTTATAATATCACCAGTTTGCCCTCCTAGTTAACCACAGATCGATCAGATGGTCTGAACTGATTCAGCTCTTTGAGCTCAGTCAAACCGGGTACACCGCTGATGAACACGTCCCAAACGAGTGAATTGGTCATTCAGTATTTAGATCACTTAAGTATGACTAGCGTCGGTGGCACAGCAATTATGACGCTCGCCGACCATGCACATGGTCCGGGGCTCGATCCCCGACCGACGCACTCCTTTACCTCACTAAGCCAATAATAAAGGCTGTTAAGGAGGAAAGGTTGGGTATGAGGCTAGCAACCACATCCCGTAAAAATAAACACTGCTACAGAAACTTCAAGCCACTAGCTTGAAGCCTTATGTTACACTGGGAACGTGTAGGAATAAAAAAAAGGTATGACTAGCAAACAATACTGGTTGATGTGATTTGTAGCCAACTACTCATCTCAATCAATCAGTAATATATATAGTGGATTTTTTGTAATCTCTTATTAGGAGTCACGGTCAAGGTTGAAATTGAACACTACTTTGTCGGCAAGTGACAACGAGTTCTAGGTTAAATACTGAGCTATGATATCGTTGGTTAGAACTCTGTTTTCCTGAAAAGCTTTTCCATGTTTCAGGATATTAGCCACACTTTATATGTGAGGGCTCATGATACTGTTTACTTGCCGAGGTTTTGTATTGATTGGAACGGAGTTTGAAACTGCAATGCCTATTGGTTTTAAGTTGAGTGTATAACTTACATTTCCATAAAAGTGATATCGAAACGTGATGATTTCTATTCATAAATTAATAAAACCTCTATAAACCTAACTCTGAAAAAATATGAATAATTTGTTGAAGTTGATAATGGTATGATCAATAACAACTCAACTGACGTTAGTCACCATGAACAACCTTTAGAATATTGTTTGATCAAATGAGAAACAAATGCATGCAGTTAATTTATCCACATTTTAATTACAGTAAAATTGGTGTAAGCACGAAGAAAATAAGTAGGTAGTTTCATAAATTTATTCCCCTTTATAAATTTGAATAAAGCAAGAACAACAGTTTGTGTAGAATAAAATGGTACCATTATTTATTTCGTTGGCTTCTCATCAGCTGCTTACAGCCTTAATAAATTATTAAGTTTATGTACAGAAACCATTTTAATTTGCTTACACGGAGAGTTCATTTTTGGAGAAAAAAAACGTATACATAAAATGGTAATAATAATAATAATCACTTTATCCCAAACAATAATAATCATACTGAATGGCATTTGTAGCGTTACATAATCAAATATACGTAACAATATATATATATATATATATATATATATATATATATATGAATCTAGTGGTGATAAGTTTATCAACAATAATTAGTCAGTGTCAAAATCTCAAAGGGGTGGTAATTAACCAAGTTTCTGACCCGTATAGAAGAGCTGACCGACTTCACATTTGTGTTGAAAATCTGAATATTGTTCTTTATGCTGAATGTAGAAGATCTCCAAACTGATTCCAGAGTGATGAAGGTGTATCTTGTCTTTCCGATTATGGCTGCCTCTGACATCTTCATCCTTTCCGCCTGTGGTTGAAACCGTGCTTCCTAGATAAGTGAAGGAGGTAACCTCTGTCAAATCTCTCCCGTTGATAGTGATTGGTGCTGGCTGTTGTTTCGGTTCGTTGGCTATCTTCATGACCTCCGTCTTCTCTATGTTCACTTAGAGTCCTGTCTTCACTG